TGTTGATTTCGTTATGTTTATTCTTGTTCTTCGTCTTCTTGCAGACCTTGTTTATTAAACTGTTTTTAACTCTGAAGAAACAGACGTGAGCTTTCTGCGCTGTTTTAAATCCCTCCGAAAGGATGCTATGTAGTTCAGGAACCAATACCAGCATAGATAAATATAGTGTATATACAATTAAGAACAGTTTTTAGGGGAGTAGGGCACTTCACAACTATGGAAATAACAATGTACGTTCTTAACGCGTTAATAATATATAGACGGTTCATCTAATTCATAAGTAAATTATATTTTGTCAAAGTGAGGTCACAATGACATCAAGATAACATCCATGTAAAACTTAATTAACATTTCTATTTGAAAGATTTAGGTCATTTTATAATTAAAGTCAACCCGCTTATATGTTTGCTTTGAAAACAAAATTCGCTATTTGTGGTGGTCATTTTGAAATGACAGTCAACTCCTTTTCAGCAATATTGAACATTTTCATTTCTTCTCCTTTTTTCTCTCATTTTTAACAAGTATTGCCTAGAAATCATTATGTGGTAAACAGTTTTTTTAATATACAATAAAATATTATTTACCTCCCAAAGATACTTCTAGCAACATTTCGTGTATATTTTGAATTCGGACAGTCAATTTTAATTCTCAATGTGGATTTCAGTTAAATTTTGCCGAACTATACTATAAAATTCACTTTCTATTAAAAAGGTTTCAATTTTTTGTCAATTTCTACGGGTCTAAACTAGTAGCTATATATGCCTATCATTATGGGACTTAGTTGGCATGAATATACATGACCAGGGCCTGGGCCGATAATTAATGTACTGACATATAATAGTAAATACGAATAATGATATCCATCCGCCTCACATTCCCATTAAAGTTTAATGTAAAAAAAAAAAAATATGCAACTTTGTTGAATATTCATAAAGTACTCACCGAAACGTTGTTTCACAAGACTAATAGATTAGACGGTAGTTAAAATCAGATAATGAGTTATCTATCTTTCAGAAATCGTCGGTTCCCCCCAATTATTTTGCGTTGAATTTACTGTTGATTGGCGACACATGGTTGTAAAACTATTAAATATAATAGGTTTCTCTAAATTGATCGGCCGCTGTAGATATCAAATACGTGCCCGATATATGAGGTTAATGTCACTCTCCGCAACAGTCAATAACACGAACTGTATATTGATCAATATCCACTTAACGTTAATAAAACGGTGAGGAGACAAACAAACGCTATATGTCTCGTTTTGAGATTCCCCTTGTGAATAGGGTTCAGATAGGATAGAAGATTCTTGTTATCCTTTATATGTAAATATGCCTACTCCGAGCTTCTGATCTTATGTGTTCAATACAAATCACCAGTATGCTTAATTTACATAACTAACAGGTAATCGGCGAACCGTATCTCATTTTCTTTAATTCGAAATGTTCTTATTTCTTGTTATCCTTTATATGTAAATATGCCTACTCCGCGAGCATCTAATCTTAGGGGTTCAATACAAATCAACAATATACTTGATTTACACAAATTACAGGGATCCAGGTAATCAACTAACCCTATCTCATTTTCTTTAGTTATTTAGTTCGAATGTTCTTATTTCGAAAATGGGTCGATATTTCGTTTACATGTACTGTGGGTTTCGTTTCGGTTTTACTTTATATGTGACAATTCACTGTATCATACGAATAGAATAAATCCACGGAAATCATTTAGTTGGGAGATGTGGAAAGCAGTTACTAATGTATACAATACAGAAGACACAAACCATTATTAATATGCTGTATTATTAAAATAGGGGGTATTTTTCAATTAAACATGCACGTAAACATCGGTGTATTCGGTGGTATATAATACGGACGATGAAACCAGCGGCCTTACGACCACACAGTGGATCTAACGACATTTGATGTGTTTGAACAAAAATAATGATGCACAATTAATACTTAGTCTACGTATACATTAATACTTAGTCTACGTATACATTATTACTTAGTCTACGTATACATTATTACTTAGTCTACGTATACATTAATACTTAGTCTACGTATACATTAATACTTAGTCTACGTATACATTATTACTTAGTCTACGTATACATTAATACTTAGTCTACGTATACATTAATACTTAGTCTACGTATACATTAATACTTAGTCTACGTATACATTAATACTTAGTCTACGTATACATTAATACTTAGTCTACGTATACATTAATACTTAGTCTACGTATACATTAATACTTAGTCTACGTATACATTAATACTTAGTCTACGTATACATTAATACTTAGTCTACGTATACATTAATACTTAGTCTACGTATACATTAATACTTAGTCTACGTATACATTAATACTTAGTCTACGTATACATTAATACTTAGTCTACGTATACATTAATACTTAGTCTACGTATACATTAATACTTAGTCTACGTATACATTAATACTTAGTCTACGTATACATTAATACTTAGTCTACGTATACATTAATACTTAGTCTACGTATACATTAATACTTAGTCTACGTATACATTAATACTTAGTCTACGTATACATTAATACTTAGTCTACGTATACATTAATACTTAGTCTACGTATACATTAATACTTAGTCTACGTATACATTAATACTTAGTCTACGTATACATTAATACTTAGTCTACGTATACATTATTACTTAGTCTACGTATACATTATTACTTAGTCTACGTATACATTAATACTTAGTCTACGTATACATTATTACTTAGTCTACGTATACATTAATACTTAGTCTACGTATACATTATCAATTTAAATTAACAATCACAACATTAAGACACGTTTATTTTGTAATGAAAATATTTTGTTTAAACGTGTCACTGAGAGATATTGAATTCTTGCATAATGTTTCATGTTTTAATCATTGTGAAACAAAATTAAATTGAGGTATTAAGGAATTTTTGATTTATTAGATATGTAAATGCTTAAGATAAACGATACAATGGTAATATAGCATAAAATGAAGTCGATTTACACGCCATTATACATTAACAATTTATGAATATATACAAATATAGGTGCACGTGGATCATAATATCAACTTTATTCTGTTTAAGATTATTTGAATGTTGCTTCATATAAACAACTTGATTGATTGATTCACTCGAGGTCATGAGTTAACAGTTCACATTCCGTACTTTGACGAATTCCCCCTTCTGGTACATTCACTCCATACCCGTACCGAAAAGCTCGCCATTGATAAAAACATGATTTCCTGTCGAACTATGACGCTTGCGAAATATCCATATAACTAAACTTACAAAATACCGATACAAACCAGTACATAATCCCCTTTTAATATTGATAATTCCATTCAATTTTACATAGACTCCGTGGAAAGCTTATAACCGTGTGACGGTATTATATTTGAAAAAGACAAAGTTGATATGCTAGGCGTACCGCATTGACCTGGTTGGCTCATTAAATGATGCTTTTGTAATATAACATAATAAAATAATAGCAACAACGTTTATAAAGCTGTTGACATATTAAACTAAGGACTAAATGTCGACATGGCCTTTGAAAAAGCACAACAACAATTCACTTAATACATAACACTTGTTCTCAGGTCGGTGAATTTTCTTTGGGTGTCCGATTTTCCTCCACCACAAAACTAGATTCGTCCTTAAATGACCATAGCTGTTAACAGGAGGTAAAGCACAAACAAACCAAATCATCACACTTGTCGACTACACTTATATGAATTCTTATAACATAACACTTCCATTTACCTGTATGTATTTAAACATAACACACGATGGTTCTTATTAGATATTAGAACATCAACCACACCTTAGTTACACACAAATTGTGTGATAACTTTCTCAATATGTTTTACAGAAACAACTAAATAATAAATTCCCGTAAATGAAAGGGAACGAAGGCAAGAGAGGATAGCGACTCTAGCTGTTGGGCTGAAACAGCATGCCAATTTCGTTCTCTTCTGTGACCTAAGTTTGATGACAGTCACGCAAAAGAAATTCCCAAATTCTGTTTGCTACCCCTACATTAGTAGGCCTAAGTATAAGCTGTGGGATAAAAAGGCCATGATTTTCTACTCACGCCGTAGATGAACACGTTTCTGAAAAAAAAATCTAAATTCCTATCTATTGATAATCTAAAAAACTGACAACCAAAGATACCATTGAGAGTTGTGCCTCACATATTGATGAATATCTAAAAAACACGTAACATATTTGTCAGGTTTTGTCAGTATTACTCGGAGTAATTTGAATAAGAAGTTCAATACAGGAGTAACATTATCAACACAATAATACAATCCACGCACTTTAGTCACTTGCTTGAATAAGAAGTTCAATACAGGAGCAACAGTATCAACATAATAATACAATCCACGCACTTTAGTCACTTGCTTGAATAAGAAATTTAATACAGGAGCAACAGTATCAACATAATAATACAATCCACGCACTTTAGTCACTTGCTTGAATAAGAAGTTCAATACAGGAGCAACATTATCAACCAAAAAATAAAATGCATGCATTTTAGTCAATAGCTTATCCATATTTTGCTTTAAATAAGCAAATTACAGATGAAAGTTTTTCTAAAAGAAACTGGTGCCGTCCCAAGTTGACCAGTACCGTATACGCCTGAAATACATAGATGGATTCCAATTGTCTTTATCTGACATCTTCGCAGACAGTTTGGTGTGTGAACGAACACATTCGCTCTCGCAGAAAGATGAGTGTAATCTTGTGACGTCAGACATAAAGAACTTCAACTGACAAATGATTTTTGTGAAACGAGATAAACAGTGGTAATTGATATTGTTCATGAACTATAACCATTTTTATATCATATGTCATTGTGTAATATAGCACAGTGTGCTGTAAACATTTTTCTTTTAATCCTCGCTTCAACCTATCATATTTCATTGTTGCTCAAGTTGGACATTGAAACAAGCAAATGGTATCTGTTTACCTGTGAAATCGACCAGATTAGCAGTTCCCGTGCGTATGAATTTGTGGCTATTTTCACACTGTTTAGACAGTGTTAATCCGCTGCAACAGTAGCAAGGTTTTTGGCATATTGACTGAAATAGCAATATTGACAATAGAAAGTACGCACGTGTACTGTCTTTTTGTGCAATACAAATGTTGAATTTAGAATCAATTATTTTCGATATGTTCCGCAACAACAAATATCCAGCGATGGGCTATATTTTAACATCTTACAAGTAGATTTGCACTCGATACAAACAGCTTAATCGTAGACTTACCCGATTCCCAGTTATAACAAAGGGGTTAAGATGAAGTTTGAACTGAATATTGTTTTGATCGATCTCATCGGTTGAAACGTTGATCTCAAGACAAATACAACAAGATAGTTTTTCAGTCCAATGAATTGGTTTCAAGACCTACTTAATTCATAACCTCATGGAAAGACTACAGATATTCATTAAATAGCCGGTTTTTCGATTGACGTACCTGACAGCTAACAGATAACTAGCAGTTTTGAATATGTATGGGAATCGTATGCACATAGCCTAACACAAGAGAAATCGATGTTAGAGGATATCATAGTTCATAATCATAATCAAAATCACATTTCCGAGTGATACGTATACAATTTTGTCACACATCAATGTCGTTATGTACCAATCAATGCAGATTAATTATTCAGACAAGTTTGACATTTACGAAATATACTGCATTGTATAACTGGTGTGAATAATATATGTAGTTATCAGAGCAAAAATATATATTTCGCGTATTGCCATTCAGTATGACGACCAGATAGTTTTTATGAGATTTCTGCGAATCCAGGCGGGTCTTTGGGGTCAGGATCCACCAATCTCACTCTCTATAACGGAGAAAAAGAAAAAAATCTGAGGTGGGGGCTTGGGCATGGAGACACCGCCGAAAAAGAAGGTTAGAGTGTTGTGATAGGGATAGGAGATAAATGTTGTCTTCCTCACTGTACTTTAAGAAGATGACATCAAAGACAAAACCACGATTCCGGGCGGGGCACATCGGTCACCTATTTCGATACACATGTAGAGGTATACAGTAAGGGAGAGAACTCTGATAGAAGTGATTGCAGTGTACAGTGGGTTTTCTTCCACTAGTCATTAAAAAAAAAAAAAAATAGCGGAGGAGGTTTTTCGTAGAACACTGTTCTTTCGTTTTAGTTCCTTTAATACAGTTTCTCAATAACAAAATATGTTCTGTGGTAAATGGTATATTAAGTTTCTTTTATAATAAACTGTTATGAGTCGGAATGACCAGGGGTTAAACACACCTGCATTGAACTAGGTACATGTGGTCACTCCGTAGAGTGACTGTCGACAACCCGCATCATGGAATATGTTTGAACGGAACTGTGTTACATACCCTCAGATGAAACATGCATTTCAAACCTTATATTTACGTTCTATTACATTCACTTTCATTATTTGAAATTAAGAAAAAGAAGGGTTTTTCACGTAAAAAAACAACAACGCCGTCCTGAAAACCAATTAATTGAACAGCCTTTTTTCGCGGAAAAGATGATGCGTTGTGAATGGTGACGAAACACACAGTTGAAAAAAAACCCATATAGTTCCACTTTGCACATTTTAAATAATTTAATTTGTATACCAGCATGTTTAAAAGCATTGGTTATCTTTAAAATTGACAATAGATTTTAATTTGAAAACCATGTAAAATATTTTAGTTACAAACAGTCAGTCCGTGTTCGCGAAGGTAGCTGACCGATAAACAACGGTTGTACAGCGGCTAAGCTCATCATGTCACGATGCGGTTGAAATGTCAACGAGCTGAGTGAATGAACACTGAAAGTGTACCTGAGGAATGTGTAGTTTCCTCAGAAACCAGATGACGATTTAAAAGACTCTGTCGACTGAATCATTGTATCGACCGACTGACAACGGGACTAGCCCATTGTTCGAGCATTCGGCATGTGTTAGTGTTACTGTCGCTGAGGGGACTGGCCGACGAGCCGGAATGATTTGACCTGCTTGGCCACTTGCAACGGAATCTAGTGTAGAGGGCAGCGATTTGTAGCCCACCATCATCAGATGGTGGGCTAATCAAATCACCCTACGTCCGTGGTCCGTCGTCCGTAGGGCATTCCGTGATTGCACCATTCCGTCCGTCCTTAAACAATTCTTGTTAGCGCTATTATTTTGTGACTGATCACTAAACCAAGATGGTCAAAACGCAGCCATCTTGAATTTTAGAGTTAAAGTTTGTTAGCGCTATATCTCAGAACTAAGTACCGGAAAGATCTTTCTCAAATTTCACATAAAGGTTCCTCATGGTCCCTAGTTATGCATATCAATTTTTGGGACTGATCACAACACCAAGATGGCCGACAGGCAGCATCATGAATTTAAGAGTTAAATTTTTAGCGCTATTTCTCATAATGTACTGGAAGGATCTTTCTGAAATTTCACATATAGGTTCCCTGTGGTCCCTTGTTATGCATTTTGAATTTTGGGGATGATTGGAAAACCAAGATAGCCGGCAGGTGGCCATATTGAATTTGGGGGTAAAATTTGTATTAGTGCTATAAAAAGTATTGGAGGGATCTTTCTCAGATTGTACATATGGTTCCTCTTGATTCTTAGTTATGCATATCACATTTGATATGAAGATTTTCATTTGGTCCTTAGTTGAGCATGTTACCTTTCGAAGTTGATCAAAAGACGGATTAAAATGGCAGACAGGCAAAAACTGATCAAACAGATAAGAAAAAAGAAGAGTAAAGATCAAACTGACATAGAACTAATGAAGATGATACGATGGTGGGTGGCAAGATCCCTCTGGGATCTCCTGTTTCTGTTCTGTTGAAAATGACCTGTTATAGGATCTAATAGTAGACTCACTTCGATGGCCCGACATAAACATGATGTGTCTTGATTCAAAACCGTTTCAGCACCCTTATTTACTTAAACAGTGTGATTTCCTGTTGATCATATCTTAGTTGTTAACACAGATTAAAAAAGCTCGGGGTGTTTTTGGTTGGGGGCGGTGACTGTTGTGTTTACATAGTGAGGTCAGATGTCATATAACGGTACATGTAGTACTGTTGATATTACTACACGCTTGCTTTTATTGAAACATAACAACATTTTGAGTTGATATTGTTATCTAAACGGACTGCAACACAAATGTAAGTATATTGGTATATAAGACGATTAATTATGGAAAAATCCATTGTGTCAATGTGTATAGTGCGTTTCCAAATGATATTAAGTTTTAGTCAAAAGTTTCGTGTTTTAATCAGAGCAGTTCAAGGCCTAAATTTCATGAATTATGCTTAATTGAAGGACACATACCTTACTTCCATAAAGAAATCTGAATTGAAGTAAATTTTCCTTATAGCTCTGCTATATTGATTTCTTTTCCTTTAATGTGAATCTTGGGTCTGATGATGACGTTTTCCATACTGCAATGTCTATTTACAACGACTACGTTTAAGTGTACCCAGCAGTCCTACTCCAGACGAGTTTACATTATATAACATAACAAGTTGTGTTTGGACAAAGGATGGATAGAGTAGTCAAGAGGTCAAAGTGGACTTGCAGCACTAATGATGAGTCGACGATGTATATAATTTCCTGTTCTCTTACATGCTATTAAGTGACTCTGAGGCTACATACATAATAACACGAGTTGTACGCCTCCCTGTAAACTCGGAATGGTTAAAGTTATTGAATACAGTGTTATCATGATGAAATGTAAAAAGTAATTTCCTACCGTGTATCAACAATCTTCTCTCTGTGTACGTCTGAAAGTATAGGACCACTCTGTGTGTCAATCTGTTGTGTACGTCTGAAAGTATAGGACCACTCTGTGTGTCAATCTGTTGTGTACCGCGGACGTTTTCATGCTCTGTTTTGAATGAGTTCGAGTGGCTGAATTTCCTTCCCGGTGCGAACACAAGCACACACACATACACATTACTAACATCGTTTACAATGTACAGGATTACAGGTTAGTCTATAAGCTCTACACTACTGACGTTTAAATGGTTTACTGAAGGGGATATGCTGACTTAAGTTATATATATGCATGTGTGTGTGTGTGTATGTGTGAGGGGGGGGGGGGGTACAGAATTAGGGATGAGGGAGTATATTGAGCTATTGGATAGCAAGCCAACTTAACATTTAATATCCAAATAGGTGTCAAAATATGGAAGGGGATCACCGCCATAATTATTTTTTATAGAATTAGTTACTTCTGGTTTTGAATCTAATTCTATGTACATTTGTATTATTTCCCTAGTTGATAAGTTATA